CCTGCAGGCACTTGGGTCGCAGTCGCACAAGACACTGTTTTAAAGATCCAACATTTTCCTCTAACCTTAAACTTTTTGAGTAACGGAGAGCAAAGTCAAATGTAACCATGGACTGATTTTGGCTTGAACCTCTTGCTCCATGTCTTGACCGGCCAGGGGAGGCCCACGGAAAGCGCCGACAGCGCGCTCTGTGGACGACTGCTGAACTAACCTGAATGGTGGACCGTAGCGCTGGGAGTATCTCCGACTGCTGGCTTGCTCACCACGACTCAGAGATACCCCGCGCTCAGTTAAGTCGAGTCCGCCGTTGCTCTCTGGAAATTACTTTAAGATTGTTTTGTTTATTTAGGTTTGAAAGAGTTTCTCAGTACTATTTTAATAGAAGTGCCTATGTTACACACACAAATTGGGTTCTGCACAACTCCTCTCAGATGACATGTCACAATTCACAAGCAGATAACACTGGTAAGTGTGGGTTATGGTGTACTTTTAACCTAGCAAAGGCTAAGAATGACAAAGCATGACTAAATGTTATACTAATCTATTTTACAAATGACAATTATGGCAGTATTGGACGTCAGACATGTGTCCTAGTCTCAACTAAATGTAAAAGTACTTGCCTGTCACATGTTAACAAGGTTAGTTGACTATTACCCACCCCACGAATCTTTTCCGAGAAAATTTGGCCAATTTAGTGGCTTTGTGTGAAAATGAAACAATTTTAAAATCCAGACCCTTTGTTGGCCGAACGTGAACTATTTTTTTAATGTAAAGTTAGATGCCCTGATTCAAGAAAAAAAATAAAATTGAAAATCCATGTCAACGTATTTTGGGGATTGAAGAAAAACAACATTTTGACCCTATTTTCACCCCCTGGAGAGTCACTATGATAGTCACCATACCCAAACAGTATATCATTTTATTCAGAAAAATGTGCTCTTTCAGATGGTGTACTTGGTTTTGATCCTAGTACAAGGGGTGCAAATTTGGTCCCAAGATCATAAATTTAAAACTTTCAATTTTCACTAAAACTCCAAAACCATAACTCGGCCCAAAAAAAATATGACAACACTTTCACACACATCAAAAAATAGCATTAAAAATCTAGTTTTTTTAAAAAAAATATCCCCCTGGAGTTCCCCACCAACGGGTACGGGCATCCGGTGACTTGGCTCAGAATCCATCTGTAGCTAGTTTAGAATCAATTGAAAAGTTGAAAAGTTAAAAAATATTTTTAAAAAGGGTAAAACTAAGAAACGGGCTCTGGCCAAGCAGAACATGGTACTAGTTATTCCTATTCCATTTCGTCATCTGACAAAATTTCAATGAACTGATATAAAAGACGGATTGAGTTATTGACAAGCAGTGCATGTTATATGGTTAAATTACAAGTGGTGGGAAATGCTGGGAAATCACAAAACATTTTTAACATTGTACTTACTAGCATTTCTTTTACTCCGCCTTCCAGAGCAAGCGTTTACTGCACTCCCAAACGCTGCCTCAGAGAACTGCGGAAACCTCTGAAGAACGTAGTCTGTAATGTAAGATGAATGCATTATTAAGTTTTAAAGCATTCCGATAAAGATCAAAAATATAAATGCAGGCACACTTTGGGAAGTTTATACCTTAGATGTCGCGCATGGATTGATATTTTTTTAGAGCAGGCTTCGGGTCCCTACCCCGCCTCCTTTGCCCCGCATAGGAGGAGAGCTGAAGCCGGCGTTTAGAAAAGGCTCCTCTCACTGTTAAAAATATTTCATTACATTTTCATTACCTGATGTGAAGCTTTTTTCATTAGATTTTCGTAATGATATTTCATAACTTTTTCATAACGTATTGTGAAAATTCATTAGAATGTAATGAAATTAACGATACCTAATGAAAAAGTTATTAAATATCATTACGAAAATCTAATGAAAACGACGAGCTCGTCAGAAACATAGTCATGGCTGACAAGGGAACCTTTTCAGGTGTAAATCTCCGATTTAGTTGAAACTCGGAAAATTTAAAGGTTATTGTTCTAGAAGTCGGATGGCACTTGAAATTTTTCCTGAACCTAACAGTTACTAGGGGTTTACTTAAGCCTTACACTGCTTTTTGTCCCAAATATCCCTCTACCGCCTTAACGGTACAAAATAGAGCAAAACGGACAAAAATTTGGCCCAAAGATCGTTACTTTGATGAGTTACCTCTTAGAACACTGCCTTACATTTTACAAAAAAATATCACCAAAACCATGTATAAAAACCGTACTCCTACCCCTACATAGTGGAAAACTAAATGTGAGGTTCAGGAAAAATTTCAAGCGCCATCCGATTTCTACATAAATAACCTTCAAATTTTACAAGTTTCAACGAAATCGGAGATTTACACCTGAAAAGGTTCCCTTGTGAGGGTGTACGGGCAGCATTTGCTTGAATGAGACATGACTTTGTGACCATCAGTGTCTTCCCAATCTTAACCTGCTGAACATTGCAGTATCACATGTTAATAATTTCTACTTCAAATGTTAAAAGTATTATCTGCTAAATTATGAAGAAATTAATCTTACTTGATCACTAGCATGAACAGCAGGGTCATTAATGGCAGGACCCATTGCAGGTGTTGTATTTAAGTAATCTTCTACATTTCTAAGTCTGTATGTAAGCCTGTATGCACTTGATGCATTTGTATATTAGCGCCACATGTAAATTTCTCATACTCTGTAAATAGTGTCATTAGACTAATTGTCATAATTGCAAAATCACTGCCTGTA